GCCATTTGTTTTTCAGCACAATTTTATCTGAAACAATGTCATTTACCAATTAAAATGCTGTGTCAGAAATTTCTGATTATTGACAATGTAATTTTTTGCAAACTCATTTTGCTCACTATAAAGCACTGGAATACATGTATATACATGTAACTCTTTGATTTTGCCCAAAAAAGTATTGTTTCTCGTCATTGCATGTGTCAGTTTAAAACACTAGGCACAGTTTTCTGCAATTTTGCATGTCAGTAAAGTGCACTATATACAGTAGAATGAATAATATTTGTTTGAGGTTTTGTTAATCCAAATCAACCATCACTGCATGTAATCAATAGCATTATTCAATAACTGTTAAAAGTTGTACATATATTTTGTTGTGGTAGTAAATCCTAATACAACAGTTTTGACAAGAAGCAAAACTTTTGTTGGGGTTTTGAGAAAGGAGTCAAATTACAGCTATTATTTGCATGATTTATTTTAATATGAGTGAAATTAAAGTCTGACTTTATTTCTTTCAAGTTAAAAACAAGTCTTTTTCAAATGCAGTCATATTACTATTTGAACATTGATTGTGATATTACACAAAGTACATGTCTTTTGAGAAGGAGTGTTTATTGTTGTCACAAGTACTTGGTCACATCATAATCAAGAAAGCATTTCTTGTTTGCATTTGTAGTGCATAAGAACATGCGTAGTTTGCTACAAACTATTGTTTCTGAGAGGTCCAGGTTAAAACAAGCATTAGAACAAGATATACAACCTACAAGTCATAATGTTGAGATATATCAGTTACAAACTCAGCTACAACGGGTGAGTATACAGTGTGTTACATATATCTGGAATCTATGCAGAATATCTCAGTCACTAACAATTCTTGAGAAAGTATCTATAATCTGATCAGGATAAATCAATCACTGAGAATCTTGAAAGAATGTAAAATTTCTCAATTGGTGAGACTCTTGAGAAAGTATCTAGAATCTGATCTGAGTCAGCAACTATCTTGAGAGAAAGTTTTTAGAATCTAATCAGTTTATCTTTAGTCAAGCCTAGTCTAAATATTACAAAATTCTGTCATGTTTTGTGTGCTATGTTTCAGGCTTATGCACAGAATACAGATTTAAAAGAACGACTTGGTCGGATATTCAGAGAAGCTGATCTGACAGCAACACCAATGCATCCCATTGCTACTCAAGAGGTAAGCATCATATCATTGCAAAAACAAACATGTATACATGTATGTTTCTCAACAATACATGTGTACATCTGATATAACTTAATAATATCATCATATACATGTATACCTAATATCACTCATTGTATATTTCAATCTTGGGCCCAATATTTTTACCTGAATCCCTTGACAATGACTATGAATGATGTATGGTTTTTCAGAGTACTCCAAGTCCTGCACTAGTACGTGATGTTTCCAATGACAGTAAGTTGTCAGTATCAGATATCAGTGAATTCTTTGATGCAGAGGAATATTTTATACTAAGTTCATCATCATCTGAAGCTGCAGTAAGTCTTGTTTTGCTTCTCACAAAGTATAAATATTGAGATAAATAGAAAGTGTGAACAAAATAATTGTTGTTTAAAATTATATTCAATGTTATTTAGTTTCCATTTGAATGAAGTCTGAAAACAGGGACTTATGATGGACCTCATCATCTCAGGCTGTGTTTGGATAGATTTGGATTAAAACTTGATACATGTCATTTTATTTTTCGGATCAAGGTCAAAATGAATAACTCGTGGCAATTTTGTTAACGAATGCAGTTACAGATCTAAATATCAAACTTCTCACATACATTAGACATTATATCAGAAATTTCAACATGCATTTGGTCTTTATTTGATTTAAAATGACCAAATGTCATTTTAAGGCCAAAAATGCATCAAAATCACTCAATATTTACTATTGTCATGCATGAACAGATGCATGCACATCATTTTATTTTTCGAATCGAGTTCAAAATGGACAACTGGTGGCCATTTTGTTCAAAAAATGCAGTTTCACATCTGTATATCCGACATGCCATGCGATCAAGTTCAAACTTCACACATACATCACTCATCATATCGAACAAGCACACATGCATTTTTGTTACCATCAAATCCAAAATGGCTGACTGACGGCCGTGTTGTTTAAATGAAGGTACCAGGTACCCTAGACAACTGTTGTAACTTTATGAATAACAAATTAGGAATATTATGATAGAAGTTGCTGTATGACTTTCAGTGGGTATGCAGACTTATTTTTTTTGTCTTTAGCCATCAGATGAGGATATTGATTCTAGCTTTCTCAGTGATGAAGAATTTTCTGAAGAAACTGGAGATCTGCAATCAATGTGTCCCAGCAGTGGTGAGTTATACAAAACAGTTTTTATGAGAAGAGATTTATTTAGTATTTATTAGTCACTGTTCAAACGCTGTTCGAAAACGGAGACTTATGGATTGACCTCTGTGTGACCTATATCTTAGACATGCCTGGACTGATTACGTTTAAACTTTACACATACACCATACATAATATTATACATAATTTATGCATATCAATTTGTTTCGCAATCTGATTCAAGATGGCTGAATGGCAGTCATTTTTGTGTTGAGAAATCATCAAAGCATTCCCGGTATTCCAAAACCAAATCTAGGCTGTTTACAGATGGATTTTGCTCCAACTTGGTACATACATTGGACAGTATGTGACCTTGATGCACATCATTTTGTTTTTCAGATCAGATTCGAAATGACCGACTGGTGGTCATTTTCTTTTATTTAATGCTGATCCAGAGCAATATCTCTCAATATGGACAAGTACTTATTTGACAATCAGATACAAGATGACTGAATGTCAATCATTTTAATGTTAAAAATTCATCATAATAAAGCATCAGCTTCTGGATCCATGTTAGTATTCAGACTATATTACTATAAACAAACAAACATGCATGGCTTGTTTCGTTTGACTTAAGACAAACATTAATATAATATGATATGTATTTACATATGATTTCAATTCCAATATTGAGTTGCTGCAACAGTGTAATAAAGATGCTGCTCACTCCATAATATGCAAAAAAGTAATGTAATGGTTTCTGTATTTTCAGTTGTTGAGAATGATATTCAACCAAGTTATTCAAAGACTGGCAGAAGAAGTAAATTACCAGTACCAAAAGCAGATGTTGGAGATTTTAGTATGTGGAATTTATTGAAGAAAAATATTGGTAAAGATTTATCCAAAGTATCTATGCCAGTTA